TTACTGACTTATTATTTGTGGAATAACTAGATAAACTGATCGTTCCTGCAGGCGTATTAATGGGAGACGGATAGATGAGTTATGAGCATCAATCCTCTGTTGATGGTTAAAAAGCAACTGAGGGAATTTGCTGAACTCCATGGCTGTTGCAGCAATATCCCACTCTGCCAGAAATTCACCGTAGGATAGAAGAAGAACCTCGTTATTAAAAAGATGATCTATAACTATGATATTTTTCTGAAACCAGTTTTCCATAAAGACTGATGTGTGTTCATATAATCTTTGTTATTCCAGATATAATATTTATGTGGTGAAAAATTGTGCTTATAGATGATCGACGGTGATAAAAAGACTCGGCCATAAAATGCAGAGAGCGATTTTTACAAACATCATAATTACATATTAGGAAAGAATAAACGCCACCGATCTGATAATATGTGGAGAGGTTGGTGTTCCATATGGAGCCAATTGATTTTAAATCTATTATTTAAATTATAAAATCAATAAAACTGAGACCAGCATTTTCATATGAATTCATTAGAAAACTTTTCTTCCAGTAATTTGATCAGTTTTTCCATATAAAGTCATTTATGGTCTAAATGCTAAAGCTGCATATGTTAAACCAGAGATGCTTTAGTGAGCAAAGATTCTTCCTCTAAGTGATAAATATCTTTAGAGCCTCTGGTTCAGTTTTCTTTGTGTTTTTTCTGTTAATGGATTAAAATTAGAGGCAAATCTTCTATGTTGATCTTTGGACAGTAAAAGCCTGAATATCTCACTTCTATTTAATAGGAATGTTATAGAGAGCAGAACTGGTTCATTCTTTCATTGCCATTCAGCAATAAGCCGGATGCACTTAAAAACTCAAAAAAAAAGCAACAGAAATTAGTTTCTCATCTTTTAAAAAAGGTGTAGCATCATCTGCTAGCTGAGAAACAAGCAATGTTTTGTTAAGGAGGGAGATAGCTTTGATTAAACTAGCGTTCAGGTGATCAGATAGAAGCTGAGCGACTAAAGAAAAAGATAAGAGGAGGCAGGACATCCTCGCCCAATGTCTCTTGATAAGCTGAGTCTAAGGGACGTACCACCTACTAGTTTAATTTAATTATAGCTGAGTAAAATTAGCTGCCAAAGCCAAACTTTTCCAAAGATTGTAAAATGAATCGATGCTCCACTGAATCAAAAGCCTTATAAAAGTCTATAAATAACATAAAACCATTTTCACAGACAATTCCTGGGTATTAAGGATGTCTAAAATTAGCCTGATATTCTTGGTTATTTGTCTGACTGTCAGACTGAGTCTCACTAATTATTGAATCCAGTTTCATTTTTCATCTTTTGGCTGAGATGGTAGCAAACATCTTATAATTATTGTTTAGTAAATAAATGTGGCACCAATGATCTAAAAATGTTGCTTCTTTAGCAGATTAACAGCGCGTGATGTTTGGATTCTCCATCTGGAAATCTTGACGTCACACAATTCATCCCTTAAAGAAGGCTATGGCAGGCCGTTTGGATATTTATTAGAAGCGCTGTTCTCTCTATTTTCTGTCTTTATCTAAACTACATTCCTACTAGTCAGAACTGTACATATAGATTTCCTAAATTACATTTCTGTCAGCAAAAACTACATTTCAGGACCCAAAATATAATTTTACTGATAAAAATAAACTTTCATATACGTAGAAATCTTTACAATTTTTAAGTTGCCCTTTTTACATTGATTAGTTTGACAAAATAAACATTTCAGATATCTGAAATAGTACAAATGACGTCACATTTCCCAAATTATGCGTTTTTACTTCCAGATATCTAAAATCACATTCTTCCTGTTGAACACTGAATTCTGATGAGGTTCAACTCTAATATCAGATCTCTATAATAGAGTTACTGCTAGTCATAATTACTATTTCAGATATAAAAAATTTAAATACCGGTAGTAAAAATATAATTAGACACCTAATACTTATTTTATGACTAGTTAAATTAGAATTCCACATATCTCAATTTTAATAATCTAAAATTTAGTTTAGATACTTAAAAACACATTTTGACTCCAATTAAACATAAAATAAGCAGGCTTTCACTTATTATTATTGTTCACTTTGAAATCTAGAATGCATATTTCAGATTGGAGTGATGTCATTTCAGACATCTGAAATGTTTATTTTTTATAGGAAATAAACATTTGCAACATCTGGATTACATATTCAGTCAAGCAAATAAATGTCAAAGCGGCTTGCCATACAGGCCTGTGGTTCTGAAGAACCTTCCTGCAGAGGATCCGGTTTGCATGGATTCACTGAACCTTCTTCTTCTGCTGTCCTCAGGCGTGTGGTGCAGCAGCCTGCTGTCCGACTATAAGGAGGCGTGCAGGGAGGTGGTGCTGGGGGCGTGGGAGCGCCCGCTGAAGTCGTCGCTGTACGCCGCTCTGTTGGGCGGCGCCGGATTCTGTTTCTACTCTAAACCCGACCAGTCGTCGTTTGAGGCCGACCTGCTGGAGCGCTCCAACCAGCTGGGCCTTCTGTCGCCGTGGGTCCGTAACGGCACCTCTGATGGACACGTCCAGAACCTGGTGAAACTGCGTAACGAGGGCCGACTCCGCTTCGCCAGCCTGGGACTCGTCAGCGTGGTCTACGGCGCCGACTACGAGCCGGACGCCATGCTGTACGAAGCCCGCTGCTCCGACCTGTCGGTGCCCTGGAGGGAGCTTCCTCAGCGGGTTCTAGACATCGGCTTCACCGGCCGCTGGTGGGTTCTGGACTCCAAGATGAAGGACTACGACATCAACCAGGACGAATACAAACACCTCCCTGCCCACATGCAGGAGACCTCCCCCCCCAGCCCCCAGGAGGTGCAGCGGAACGAGACGTTACACCGCGAGTCCTGGTTACCCCTGACCATGGAGGACGGCGAGGACGAGGCCCACTGAAACTGGAAACGGGGAACCAGAGGGGGAACCAGAGGGGGAACCGGAGGGGGAACCTGATGGGGAACCAGAGGGGGAACCGGAGGGGGAACCTGAAGGGAACCAGAGGGGGAACCTGAAGGGAACCAGAGGGGGAACCGGAGGGGGAACCAGAGGGGAACCGCAGGGGGAACCTGAAGGGAACCGGAGGGGGAACCTGAAGGGAACCGGAGGGGGAACCTGATGCTTCCGGTGGGAACTGTTCGGATGCTCTCTAGATCTTCTGACTGTAGATGTGCTGCTTTTTTCCACCTGTATTGATCAGTGTGTGACTCAGCAGGACGTTCCTGACCTTTTTATTTAAACCAGGAGTTAAAGATAAACCTGCTCTTTGTCCTGAAGGCAGTTAATGAACAGGGATCATTATCTTTATAGGATGAAATAATAAAAATATTTTATTTATCATCCGTCTTACCTTCCATCCTCCTTATTAATGTTTCTCCTGTTGGTTTAAACCAGTTTCCCTTAAACAGCGTTTCTCACTTTAAAACAGACTCTGGGCTCTTTTTAAAAAACTGATGCAGTTTTCTGATATTTTGGATGAAAGGAGGATAAATGTGTAGCCAGAAGATTTAAAGACTTCAGGTGACATCACAGCTGCCTGAAGCCAGCTAGGAGAAACTCATCATTGATAAAATTTGACCTCTAAGAGAAGGAATTAAATCTGCAGGTACTTCCTATATTTTCAGCTTCTGGTAATTTCTCATATTCTTCTTTTAAAATGTTAGAACTATCCACATTTATTTGGAAAAATAAAAGA